AATCTTTAGATGTTTAACGACGCCTACTTGTGCCCGGAATGTCTGTTGACAAGGTGCGGGGACCTTGAGGGTTTTTCTTTATGCCCAGGCAATAGCTAGAGGGTTCACTTCCAAGATGGCTACTGGAGCCTTTACGATACTGCACTATGTCTTTCGAGCTTAACGGAGTCTGCGGGTTGACTTGCAGGCCCTGTAGGGAGGTCTTTGAGGTGTACTTTGGCGAGACTTTTGTGCGATGATCCACAGCTATGCTGCCGTAGAACAGTTGCTTGGACAGACACTCATCGTCCAGGGAAAAAATATTACTGTGTTTAGGAGTTGAGATTTTGCACACGTTTTTCCATTGAAGGTCAAGGGAGCTAAAACTGGTGTGCATCGGCATTAAAAATGCATTCGATCGCAGCGGTAAATTGATTAGACGGCAAAGTTACGCACATGCCATCGGTATACTTGAGTATATTGTCGTAGAACACGTGAAGCCGGAATTAATAAGCTATGTATACGACCAACCTTCGTCAACTCCTCGATAACTGTATATGTATACCACTTGAAACACGAGGATTGAGGTGCAATCAACACTTACTTGGGAGGGAATGAGGAACAAAACCCGAATAAGCAGCAGCGAGTCGTTACACAGAGATTTTCGACGAGCCATTAATAAAACGTGATGAAGTTCCGGTAGCTCTCTCACAAGATAATAATACTTATAATCAGAATTTTGATTAAAAGCCCAAACAACGACCAATAACTTACGCCACTTGACAGAAATCTTTTGAGCTACCAATCTTCCCGATATAACGGCCAGGCCGGTGCACAAACCATGTCCAAGAATTCCACCGGTGATGACTCCGAGAACGTTCTAAGGGATAAAAATCAGAACAAAAACAGCTCATTTGTGTGGAATGAGTTTTTGAATCTATAGTTTATTAACTACTACTTACTAAATTAAAATAGAGACAAAACTGGATAATTTTAAATAACACGCCGATAGTTTTATTAAAAAGTACATTGGAGAATATATTTTACAAAGATGTAGTCTTTAAAAGTGAGACGGCTGCCTGTATTTTTGGGTTCCGAACTAACGAATAACGATTGATTCGTAAACAATCCCAAAACCAGTCAAGGCTCAAAGAAGAACCGAACACAGAGGTCCTGGTCACTCGGATTTACAACGGTCTTTAAGAGTAACCGTCCGTAGCTTGTAGCGCGGACCATATTCCGGTGGTGAAACGGAAAAAGTATTTTGATATCTATAAAAGGGCAACCGGCCAATTAAATGTATTAAGGACCTCCCCAGTTTGACAGCGCACATAGTTGAAACCGCGACTGGAGGCCTAAGAACAAGTTTTATTGTCAGTGACGTTGAGCTTAAAATCCAACTGACTGAACGCTTTGGAGTGAACTAGGAGTCGCAGTATCCAATATATAGTTATAACTTCGTCTCATTATTGTGTCTTTTGTCTACTGCCACTGTACAGCCGAGGCTGCGAATACGAACAGTTAAGTCCAACATCAACATGACCAACAGTGGTCATTAGTGGCTCAAAGAAGTGAAGTAACGAGGATAGGAAGTGTAAAAAATTCCCGTTCTTCCCGATCTATAATGTAGATACGTAAAGCTTCTATGCAACAGTGGTATGCTCCAATTTATAACCTTGGCATTACTTTAACGAATGCAAATATAATAACGCGCAAAATAATGTTCATAGGAAACAATTACGCACCAGAAAATAGATAGGAATTCAGTGGTCTCAAACCGAAAACTAATGAAAACGCACCTCGCGAGCAGCCAGCACAATAGTGGTTAACTGCGACCGATCACCCCACTCTGCCAAAAATGTCATCAAAAAAGCCTCTGCGAAAATGGGCGAAAGAACCTTCCGCAACAGGGCGCGTACACGAACGTGACACCTCGAACCCGAGTTGACGTCAGCGCTCCCAATTTGTTGCTCGACCTCCTGGTACTCCTCGTTCGCATCGTCAGGCGACATTTTGTAAGCTAAGACAATGATTATGGGCAAAAGTGCAGACCATCATACAGCATCTTGACACCAAATATAATAAAGAGAACACCGGAAAGATAAAATGTGTATATCCTCGGGAGGAGTTCTGTCGTATAGCCAAGGAGAGCTACAAAAGTATGGTAAATAATGTTAACCATTACCTGAAAGTACGGTCATGGTAATCAGAGCGGACATGGCACCTAAGTACACAACGGGGCGAGGGTGGTGAATAGAAAGTATGGCAGCGATAAAAAATGTTTTGTCTCCAAGCTCCGATATTACAATAACGTAAATGGACGCCATAAATCCATGTATGAACCGCGCAGATTTGTCAAGCGGGAGTTTAGATGGCAAAACCTTCTGAGGTTGCAAAATATGCGGATCCGCTTGTACATTACTTGGAATTTTAACAACAGCTGATCTAGTAATAACGACTACAACCGCTAGCTGGATAAGAATCAACGCCACGCCGCGCATTCCCATCATCGCTAGCTTTCCGCAACGTCGTTACGGTAAGTGATTACTCCACACCCCCGCCAGAATTCCGGTGTATTAAAAGATGATTGTACAGAGGAACGTTGACACTGTGTAGCACGCTGTTTTTTTTAATATGTGGAATCCAACGCAGTGCATATCAACCCTTAAGGATAAAAAACTGCTCTTCGTAAAAATATGGATGATAATAGTAGTTTCGTTTTATAGAATGTAAACCTCCTTGATATTTTGCAAATTTTATAAGTTGAATGTGATTTGAACATTTTAAGACGAAATAGCCGACTATCGCTCTTGGGGGGAAAAAAATACACGCATGCGGAGGAGGGCATGTGAGGATTCAAAACGCTCCTTCCCGCTGGAGGCATCATATAACTGCTAGGGCTTGTAGGTCCTTGTACCTTTCATTGTTAGGTTTGTGCCTGCGTTTGTTCCAATGTATCATTATATACCTAGTTTTGTTTGAGTATTCACCACTCTTCCGCAGCTTGATGCACATGCTCAATACACGTTGCTGAGCGACTTCCCTTTTTGGCGTGACTGCCAAACTATCTGAACTGTGTGCTTAAAAAAAGATCCTAAAGCAGATCCTTCCACCTTTAAGCGCACTATCAATTGTGGTGATAAACTTTGCTTGACCGGGTGGCTGAACTTGGCCAGAAACTTTGGTCAATTCTTCTTTATTGTAATTCAACTTTCTGACTACTGTTGTGGAAAAGGCTTCGGATCGAGTGAGCCATTTCGTTGCCTTTTATGTCATTGTCTCTTAGTTTTTAACCGTTTCTTATCGTAGTAGTTTGTAGTAGTTTAGTTGCTGCTAGGTAGTTTCTACGTCTCGAATTTTGCGTTTCACATTTTCTAGCAAATTTTATGCGTTTTGTAGGCATTAACTCTGGTTATCCGTTTTAGGCTCCCGTTCACCACCGCATAAACATACGGCTGTTTGTAAGAACGACCATCAGGGAAGTCCAGCGGAAGTCCATCACCGGCATCACGACTTGATTGCGCAAATTACCGTCCTGTCAGTCTAACTTGCATCGCGT